ACAGCAAAGAAACAAACAATCCAATCATGAAATGGGCAAAAGACATGAACAGAAATCTCACAGAGGAAGACATAGACATGGCCAACATGCACATGAGAAAATGCTCTGCATCACTTGCCATCAGGGAAATACAAATCAAAACCACAATGAGATACCACCTCACACCAGTGAGAATGGGGAAAATTAACAAGGCAGGAAACCACAAATGTTGGAGAGGATGCGGAGAAAAGGGAACCCTCTTACACTGTTGGTGGGAATGTGAACTGGTGCAGCCACTCTGGAAAACTGTGTGGAGGTTCCTCAAAGAGTGAAAAATAGACCTGCCCTACAACCCAGCAATTGCACTGTTAGGGATTTACCCCAAAGATTCAGATGCAATGAAACGCCGGGACACCTGCACCCCGATGTTTATAGCAGCAATGTCCACAATAGCCAAACTGTGGAAGGAGCCTCGGTGCCCATCGAAAGATGAATGGATAAAGAAGATGCGGTTTATGTATAAATGGAATATTCCTCAGCCATTAGAAACAACAAATACCCACCATTTGCTTCGACGTGGATGGAACTGGAGGGTATTATGCTGAGTGAAGTAAGTCAATCGGAGAAGGACAAACAGTGTATGTTCTCATTCATTTGGGGAATATGAATAATAGTGAAAGGGAATATAAGGGAAGGGAGTAGAAATGTGTGGGAAATATCAGAAAGGGAGACAGAACATAAAGACTCCTACCTCTGGGAAACGAACTAGGGGTGGTGGAAGGGGAGGAGAGCGGGGGGTGGGGGTGAATGGGTGATGGGCACTGAGGGGGGCACTTGACAGGATGAGCACTGGGTGTTATTCTGTATGTTGGTAAATTGAACACCAATAAAAAATAAATTTATTTAAAAAAAAAGAGTGACTGTTTTGCAGGAAAGAAGTATTCCAAAGAATGTCCTCATTCTCTGTCTCTTCTCTCCTCCAGGCCTGCTTTGTGAAGAGAACATTGATGACTGTGTTGGAGGTCTCAATAGTGGTTAGTGTGTAGGTAGGATTGGGGGCTACTGTTGTTGCTGCTTGCCTGGCTTTGCTGAAGTGCAGTGTGAGCGCAACATCAATGAGGGCCTCTCGAACCCCTGCAGCTCTGAGAGTAGCCTGGACTGCATCCAGCTAACCAAAGACTCCCTGTGTGTCTGCCGTGGTGCCTTCACTGGTGAGAGCCTCTCCAGTGCCCCCAGCACTCTGCCTTGGAGAGGCTTTGAGTGAGGAAATTGGGCCATGTGTGTCACTTCCCAGACCCAAGTGAAACTTTTTTCTTACATAGGAAAGACTAGACCAGCTTAATTCAGAGTTCCACTTTTTCCCTAGGTCAGTGCTTCATGGATGTTATAGTCCACCTCTGCCTTTTTTTTCTTCCTGAGATGCTTTCTTTTATTATACATTGATTATATCAGACTGTAGCAGAAATACAGAAAAAGAAATAGAATGTTGGGAGTGGTTGAGCAAAATAACACTTTTTAATTGGAGCAAAATACACATAAAGTATACCGTCTTAACCATTTTTAAGTGTACAGTTCAGTGGTTTTAAAATCATTCACGTTACTGTGCTGTCAACACCAAATCCATTCAGAGAGGTCTTTCTTCTGAGTAAAATAATGTCTTGTGATCAGAAACCATACATCTACTCTGCTTTCATCACCCTATCTCTTTTGGCATGTAATGATTTGGGTTTCTGGGTAGACACTGCCATGGTGACCTCTACCTCTGGGACCCTGAGAGGATTAGGATCTTCTAGGTCATATAAGGGGAATAGGTCTAAATTGGGGTGTGTTTAAGCAAAAACCAGTTGATGAAGGTTATGCACTAGAAAGCTCTGGGGGTATGGCCTGCACAGCTAAGAGTTGGTCATGCTCCTAGTCTCTTCTTAGGCTTCTTCTTTTTCATTATACATCATAAAGATGACCAAGTCCTGCCTCAGAATAGGGGCTTATCTAGGCCCTTAACTACTTACCTCTAAGGGTAAGCAGCTTGGTGGCTTTGTGGGACTATGATAATATCTAACAGTGTCAGTGTCAACCAGATGCTTAGATGAGAAGTTTGGTTGGCATTTCTGGAGTCATTACAGACCTTGTGCTGTAGTAATATTACTTAGGAATCAGATCATAGGCAACAGTAGTCTCCTTTAGTGATAATTTGGCAACCCAAGAAAACTTACTGGAACACTTAGGAATCCAGTGAATCAAATGATGTAAAATTAATTCACAGAGAAACCTCTGCTATAAACCAAAACCAATTGGGGGATGCAATTGAAGAGAAGATCACATTTATAATAACAAACACCCATACCAATAACCTTTCAAGAATTACTGACTACAAATACTACCAAATATACCCACTCCTGACAACTTGAGTGACTGCTGCCCCTTTAACAATTACAACTTTAATGTTGCTCTATTCTTCTCACCTCCTAGATAAAAACCCATAACCATATCTGATTATGCCTGCCACCGATGCTCATCTTTGAACCCATCTCAACATCACCTAAAACAAGGGCAACCCTATCTTACACACACTTCCACAAACTCACAATTCCTCCTTCTGTGCATTTCCCCTGAAGCAAAGTTCTGCAATAATTCCATCTTTGTTTGACTTGCAGGGGTGCTCCTCATGGCCTCTGGCTGGCTGACATCAACAGAAGCCTGTGCTGAAACTCCAAACCAGAAAGAATCCCATTTTTACATCCTGTTATACACAGAGCATGGACTGTGACAGTGAGTCCTCATGAATTTATTTTAAGAATATCTGGAACATCACAAAAATTGCATGTGGATGAAGCCATGCTAAAATCTCAGTGCTTCAAAGGGTCAGTATTATATAGACCGGTATCACTGAGCATAGTGGTATCAAATTAGAAACAGAAAAAAATTGTAACCAACCAGCAACCCTATGTGTATGAAGAATTTTAAAACTATGAGTCATTTATAAACACAAACCTAAGTTAGAAGATATTTAGAAATTGCATGAAAATACTTATCAAATAGTACCACTACTTTTGAAATACCATTGCATACCTGCTGTATTAAGTATTCTATCCACATTTCCAATATTCTTTAGAATTCTCTGAACAGTTTATCAGCAAATCTCTTATTCCTCTAATTCCCTGTTCAAATTAATAACTCTCTATCTAACATTTCCCTCTTCAACTATGATGTGAATTCTTTCTCCTGACTGAACCCAGACTGATACAGAAGGTAACTTTTGCAGAGAAACATTGCTCTGTGTTGTGCTTACTTTCATCTTAATATCAACAAGTTAGAAGCTCTTCATCTATAATTTTTTTAATAATTCTTTTTCAAAAGGGACATAATGAATGAATGATGGCTATTCTAGGAAGGGACAAAATACTCCGTGCTATAAAATTTCAAGACATAAGTTGAAAAGATAGTAGCCATAGTCAGTCTACTGGCACTATCCCTTACCGATACCTTTATGACTCCAGCTAATGTGTCAACCTAAAGATTAATGATTACAGAGCATATCTGTCTCATCTCAGAAAGTAGAAACAAACTTCTGGGCTATTAAAGCATTTTTTTTTCATTGTGAAATGTAACACACGCAGAAATGAGCATACATTTTTAGGAATGGTTTAACAGATGTGTACAGCAAACCCCAACAGCCAGGCACTCTAGAAGCTACATGAACCATACCCTGCCCCTTCCTCATCCACTCCTGATTACACCCTAGAAGTAGGGTGACAGCTCATCCTCACGGTTCCCGTAATATTTCCTAGATTCAGTTTACCAAATGCATGTATCCCTAAAAGTAACGTTTAATTTCGTCTGATTCTGATCTTTATGTTTGTGTTTTGTTTTTCTTTGTTTGTAATATTTGTCCACATCATGCATATAAATAACTCTGATGCATCATCTCCATTGCTGTTGATGGAAAGCTGAATTGTTTCCAATTTGGGGAATATTGCTGTTTCATGTATCCTGGTGAATTCATGCACACATTTCTGTAGAGTATGTATCTAGGAGTGGAACTGCTGGATCGTAGGGTCTGCATATTTCCAACTGTATGAGATACCACTAAAGAGCTTTCTAATGCAGTTCAGCCTATTAAACTCCCTCCAGAGATGTGTAAGAGTTGTTGTCATTCTACAGCCTCATCAAAGTTTGGTATTGTCAGCTGTTTAGAAATCATTTGAATCCCTGACCTCCTCCCTCACCCACCACTCATACTACAAACATAACCACTGGGATGCCTTTCTGGGAGAGCTCCCGGGGTTCTGCTCTTCTGCTCTCACAGGTGCTCTTCTATTCCTAGATTCTGCACCGCCCCCTCCTCCGCCCCCCGCCCCACCCCCAATCTGGCTAGTCCCGGCACCCAAGGACACACAGCAGAAAGAGCCACTTGACAAAATGAGCTGGAGTCTTTCTCTTGCCAGAAGCCAGGCACTGCCCGGGGTGGGGGAGGGGGCGAGACCCCTGGTGGCGTCTGGCTCTGCCGCTCTGCTCCCGGGCCACGCAGGCCAGCCCGGCGGGACCGTGCTTCGCGCGCAGTGCCTAGAAAACACCCACCGATGGAAACCGTCAGGTGTGTCCTAGGGCGAATAGAAACAGCCCAACCGGCATAGGACGGACTGACCCTTGAGCAAGAGCTTTGTTCCTCCTTTCTCTGCAGCCCTTCTCCTTTCTCCAAGCTGCTCTCTGCCCCTCAGCCCTCGTGCCAGTAGCCCCCCCCCCCCTTGCCGGTTTTATTCTCGCGCACCCCTCCCTCGGTTCTCCCTCGGTTCTCCCTCGGAGAACCCTCCCTCGTGCGCCCAACGGCACCGCCCAGGAAACGAACTAGATAGGTGAGTTCTGGGATGTCAGCTAGACCGAGCCTTGGGAGGCTGGGGTTTCCTGCGTACCCTGCTTTGGGAGCTCCGCACTTTGCGCTCCCACTTCTCTAGAGGCCGCCCTGGACCCTGACTCGCAGGCCAGGTGCAGGGACTGACCTGCTAGGACCGAGATCTGGGGCCATGAGGTCAGGAAGGACCTTACTCCCCCAAGGCCGTTCGCTCCCCACGCTAGTCCTCGTGGCGCTCCTGGTGGGTGCTCTTGGCGAGGATATGATTTTTCACCCCGAGTGGGGATTTGAGTCGTATGAAATCATCATTCCCAAGAAGCTGAGCTTCCGGGGAGGTCAGCAGGGTGCTGTGGAGCAAGTGTCCTACCTCCTGCAGGTCAAAGGCAAGAAGTATGTCCTTCACCTGTGGCCCAAGAGGTTTCTATTACCCCGAAATCTGAAGGTTCTCTCCTACACGGAACAGGAGAAACTCCTGGAGGATCATCCTTACATACCCAGGGACTGCAACTACGTAGGCTCGGTTGAAGGAACTCAGGATTCAGAGGCTACTTTAAGTACATGCATGGGGAGTCTTCGAGGCATATTGAAAATTGATGAGGAACATTACCAAATCGAGCCCCTCAGGGGCTCTTCTAGCTTTGAACATGTCATATATCTCCTGAAGGAAGAGGACACATTTCAGAATCATACCTGTGGCTTAACTAATGATGAACTAGAAAAACAGATAGCCCAGAATGAGAATATGGCTAGGCGTAGCGACTTTTATAATTCCTATAAGCATCAGAAGTACATGGAAGTGGCCATGGTCTTTGATCACAGTAGATACTTGTTTTTAGAATCCAATGTTACTCGAGTCATATATGATGCCATTCTTTTGATTGCGGTTATGGACACCTTCTTTAGAGAGATAGGTATGAGGCTATATCTACAAGGTATTGAAATATGGACAAATGAAGACAAAATAAATATTAACAATATGAACTCAGGAGAAATTCTATATGCATTTTTAAGATATCGCAAAATACACCTTTCTGTTCAGATTCCAGAAGATTGGGGACATTTGTATATTTCAAAGACTTATGTTCATGCTAATGCTCTTGGATGGTCGTTTATTGGAAGTGCATGTGTAGAAAACTATAGTGGCTCTGTAAGTACTCTTACAAATATAAATATCCTTGCTGCCAGCAGAATGTCTGCTCATGAACTGGGACATGGTGTAGGAATGAAACATGATACAGAATTTTGTCAATGTAGGGGTAGGCAAACTTGTATCATGGGCACTGGGAGTAGTGGGTTTAGTAATTGTAGTTATTTGCGGTATTTTTATCACGTACATACATCAGGACACTGTCTAAATAATATCCCAGGACTGGGTTATGTGTTGGAGAGATGTGGAAATAAAATTGTGGAAGGGAATGAAGACTGTGATTGTGGTTCAAGAGAGGAGTGTAAAAAAGACAAGTGTTGCCAACCGGATTGTAAATTCACGGAAGGTGCCAATTGTAGCACTGGGCTTTGCTGTCATAACTGCCACTTTCGTCCACTTGGGTACATGTGTCGAGAGGAAGATAATGAATGTGACCTTGCAGAGTACTGCAATGGAATCTCAAATTTCTGCCCAAATGACAGTTATAAGCTTGATGGAACCCCCTGCAAGCATAACTCCCTTTGTTTCAGAAAGAAGTGCCGTTCCAGATATATGCAGTGCCAAGACATTTTTGGAGCTGATGCCAGGGAGGCTCCTGATCAGTGCTATCACGCAGTTAATTTAATGGGTGATCAATATGGGAACTGTGAAATTTTAGGAGTCCGTGCCTATAAAGCTTGTACCAAGGCAAATGCAATGTGTGGCAGGCTGCAGTGTATAAATGTCAACACCATCCCTGATCTGCCAGAGCATACGATTGTCATCTCTACTCATCTGCGAGAGGAAAATCTCATGTGCTGGGGGGTAGGCTACCACAAAGCCATGATACCCATGGGAATACCCGACATAGGTGTAATAAATGATGGTACCCGCTGTGGTTATAACGGACTATGTATTAACAGAACTTGTGTGAACGATTCAGTCTTGGATTTTAACTGTTTTCCTCAAAAGTGCAACCACCGAGGCGTTTGCAACAATAAAAAAAACTGCCACTGCATGTATGGCTGGGCCCCTCCATTCTGTGAGGAGGTAGGGTATGGAGGAAGCATTGACAGTGGGCCTGCAAGGAAGCAGAAAGAGGAGGTACCTACGCCAGTACAGGTCGTGTCCGTTATGTTAGTACGCCTTATTTTCTTAGTCATCTCAGTGATTCTTGTGTTTTTCAAGAGAATGATAAGACAGTATATGCAATCCAAACAGAAATAAACACCACCAGTTAACCCTAAAAAGAAATAATACAAGGCAAAAATATCAAGAACCCAAACGAGTAATCAGGCGATCCACAGTCATTTCATAACACAGAATCATATATTGAACAAGCTTAGCACTTAGCCAAATGGCACTTTGTTCTTATTCCAATTCTTTTTTTTTTAATGTAACTTTTCTTCAAGGTTGGATCGGCAAATAAATGATATTCTTGTTTGGGAAACAAATGAGTGCATTTTGCTTTTTCAGTACTCACTTGCTCCTTCATTTGTGATCAAGGTTTGGATATCCTGAAATGAATGGCCCAACAACTTTTCTGAACACTAAAGCTCTGCATATTGTTTCACAGAATTACATGGGTTTTCACACTGGAGTCCTGTGGTTCAGAATCCCAGAAAACAAAGTGCTTATCTGCCTTCCTCTCTGCTTCCCTGGTGTTATGAGTGAGAACTCTGTGCTTGAACCTGATGAATGTTGACCATCACTCTTATAAATAGAAAGCCATACATTATAAGGGGTGTTCCTCAGGTAAATATTTCCCCTGTTATGGTCATTTTACGGATCACTTCAGCTCTGTAGATGTGTGGTCTCTGACAGGTGCTTGGGGCAATCTCAGTTGTTGGAGGAAGGACACTAATCTACCACAACTCTTGCATTTCACCACAGTCTGTAAATGATGACACACCCTGGCAGCATCCTGTGGAAAAGACTTTTAACAAAGTTCTGTGCTTTGGGCTTTTGTTTGTAGGAGCAGGTCTTTTGTGAATGTGTACTGAGGGACATGTGGCCCTAGATTTGCTGCACCCCTAATAGAGCAGAGAGTGAGGAATGCCTTCCACCATGTACCCCCATATCTGCCTCCTAATATTCTCACCTCTTTGCCCAATGCTGAGTGTGGGAGGAGGGAAGGACTAAGTGGCAGCTTTGGAGGAGTCAATGCCCACATTTCATGCCCAGGGAGGATCTCATCCTTCCCAGATCTGTGTCAGCCCATGAGTTCATGATCTTGCTCTAGGCCAATCCCACCTTCTGTTGTCTCACCTCACTCCTGTGTTCCTCCATCCCCAGACACCACTGTATCTCACTATCCTCACCCTGGTCTCCTCTTTCCTCAGCCATGTTCTTCTTCTAATCAAAGAAGTTGTGGGAGGCTCATAGTAAAGAGCAGTTTCCTTGAACTATTTGGGGACTGTTTTTAGTCAAAGGAGAACAGGAAAACTCTGACTTTGTGATGATCATAATTCTGACATTTATCAAGCTTGGCCATCACCAGAGAACATCCTGAGAATGCAAGACATTTTAGTTGTAGCTGCAATATTGACAGTGATGGCTACCATTTACGGAGAGTTCTACATGCCTGGCGTGTATTTATGTATCTTCACTCCTGAAAATAACTCTGTGTGGTGTGTGTTATTATTTTGTCCTTTCCAATAGAGAAATTAAAGCATGATGATGTGAAATAATCTGTTCAAGATGGTATAGCTAGTAAGTAATGATATTATTACAAGAAGCATATGTGTGGACTCTTGGGAAGACTGTACTATTGCTGGGTAGAGTACTGTATAAGCATTAATCAGATAAAGTTGGTTGATAGTGTTGCTTAAGACTACTCTATCCTTGCTGTATTTGGTCTACTTGTTCTTCATGTTAATTTGCCTATTCCTCCTTGCATTTCTATCAGTTTGCGTCATGAGCAATAGACCTTGCTCTGAAGTCTATTGCAGCTGATATTAATACAGTTCCTATAACTTCCCTTTGACTACTGTTCATATAGCATATATGTCTTTTTCCATTCTGTTATCTGACTATATTAGTATCTCCATATTTATAATGTGTTTCTTATAGGCAACATGTCGTTGAGTAGTTTTTAATATCAAGTCTGACAATTTCTTTTAATTTAACCATTAACATTTAATGTGATTACTGAAAGAGCTAGGTTTGTGTCTATTCACTCCTATTAGTTTTTGGTTTGTCCCATGTTCCTTCTATTTCTTCCTTCTTTTGCATTAAGCTATATTTTTAAAAATAATTTCATTTCATCTCCTTTGGTTACTAGCTCTAACTCTTCATTATTTTATTTTATTTTATTATTTTTAATTATTTTTTATTGGAGTTCAATTTGCCAACATATAGCATAACACCCAGTGCTCATCCCACCAAGTGCCCCCCTCAGTGCCCATCACCCAGTCACCCCAACCCCCCGCCCACCTCCCCTACCACTACCCCTTGTTCATTTCCCAGAGCTAGGTGTCTCTCATGTTTTGTCACCCTCACTGATATTTTCACTCATTTTCTCTCCTTTCCCTTTATTCCCTTTCACTAATTTTTATATTCCCCAAATGAATGAGACCATATAATGTTTGTCCTTTTCCAATTGACTTATTTCACTCAGCATAATACCCTCCAGTTCCATCCACATTGAAGCAAATAGTGGGTATTTGTCGTTTTCAATGGCTGAGTAATATTCCATTGTATACATAGACCACATCTTCTTTATCCATTCATCTTTTGATGGACACCAAGTCTCCTTCCATAGCTTGGCTATTGTGGACATTGCTTCTAGAAACATTGCGGTGCAGGTATCCTGCCGTTTCACTGCATCTGTATTTTTGGGGTAAATCCCCAGCAGTGCAATTGCTGGGTCATAGGGCAGGTCTATTTTTAACTCTTTGAGGAACCTCCATACAGTTTTCCAGAGTGGCTGCACCAGTTCACATTCCCACCAACAGTGCAAGAGGGTTCCCCTTTTCTCCACATCCTCTCCAACATTTGTTGTTTCCTATCTTGTTCATTCTCACTGGTGTGAGGTGGTATCTCATTGTGGTTTTGATTCGTATTGCCCTGATGGCAAGTGACACGGAGCATTTTCTCATGTGCTTGTTGGCCATGTCTCTGTCTTCCTCTGTGAAATTTCTGTTCATGTCTTTTGCTCATTTCATGATTGGATTGTTTGTTTCTTTGGTGTTGAGTTTAATAAGTTCTTTATAGATCTTGGATACTAGCCCTTTATCTGATATGTCATTTGCAAATATCTTCTCCCATTCTGTAGGTTGTCTTTGAGTTTTGTTGACTGTTTCTTTTGCTGTGCAGAAGCTTTTTAGAATATATTCACATGTCACACAAGCATTTTAAATGTAATAAAAAACAGAAGTGGGATCAAAAGAAAGATTTCAGCTTTATACTGGTTACTACATGGTAAGCTTGTAGGAAAAACTGGTTCACACAAGGGTAATGTTTTGCTTCCCCAGTAGACTGAAAGCCCTAAAAAGGCAGGGATGTGTCTCCTCTGTCTTGGATACATCCCAAAGAAATTACATGGGTCCACTGACAAAAAAAAGACAAAAACCTTAATAAACATTTGTTGAGGCTAGGTGTACATCTCCACATCTAGAAAGCTCCTTCGGTATAACCTAGACTGATTAAACTATAGTTGAGGACACTGAGGTCTCATGTTGAGATACCTGGCCAATGAGGTCACACAGCTCATTCAGAAAGTAAAAATAAGTGACTAGTAACAAAATAACAAGTAACAATCTCCAAATCAGCAACCCAGACTGTTTCTAGCATAATGACACATATTGTTGTACATTTGGGTAGGTCTAAATTTTAGGCATAGCTGATTCAGGGGCCATTTCAAGTTAAATGATCTGAATAAGAAAGCACTATGCGCTAGTGGACAAAAGTCTTTTACTGCACATGAACAACCTAAAAGGAAGAAACCGTCTTATAAATATTTGTATATAATGCTATAAAATTACGGACATAATGCACTCATTCCTATATAATGAAATACCCATCCTACTTTGCACTTTCCTATGGCACCAAGTAATTCATATGAAATACCCATTCCATATGATGGTCACCTCTCCAAGACAATACAAAACTCAGTAAACTACCTAGATTTTCGTATTTGTATTACTTATTTTACCTGATCAGTCTTCTGTGGGTTTAGAATTTGGAAAATGGAAAATCTGGGTTTCAATGTATACCTGTGACTGTGACAATGCAGGGGCTTTTCTAGGGGGCTTTCCTTCATAGTATAACTTATAGAAATGGTCCCCTACCATGGTTGATCATGGGCTGGACATTTGGCCTAAGACACTGTGTATGACAGAGAGAATTTCCTGAGATGTGATAGACTAGGAAGAGTGAAAAAGCCAAGAATGGATCCACAGTGAGAGACAGGAGGAGGCACAAGTGCACATAGGACAGGAGAAGAAAGGCTCCATGCCCAACTGGAGAGCAAGGGGTTCCTGTGTGGAAGGAAAAACACTTTTGGAACAAGACCTACACATTCCCCCCATCACACAACAATGGAAGATACATTTCTCACCATTACTGGAACATAGGGTAATGAACATTTAAGCTACCACTAGCACAGGCAGAGAAGAAGATGTGGAGCCCCAAAGAGAAGGGAATGAAGCTCCTGCCTAATTCTCCTTACCATTGGCAAGGGGAGGCATTAGTCATGACCTCCAGTCTCACAAAGTACCTAAAAATACCAAGATCCTGCTGAATTCATACCCCCAAAAGCTATGTCACAGATGACTTACTATTATATTAATAGAGCTATGAAGGACCCTCAGGGTCCATGGCCAGCAGCATCACTTCAGCCACTTTGAGTTGGTTTCACTGTTTTGTCTGAAGTCCCCTGGAGTCGTCAGGATACAGTGGTGAGATAGGTAGCTCTGTGGTTCTGCTTGTCATTTCTTTCCCTATGAAATGAATGTAACCAGCTTCCATTTTCTGGCACTAGCGCTGGGAAGTCCCATCTATCAGGTGGAGTCAGGAGAGGTAAACATGAGGTCTTCATAGACAATGGTGGTGGAAAGAAAGGCCCTTCTCTATTCTCTCTATGGGTGAAGCCACTGGGACAGACAGTTGTATTCGGAGAATTACTGGACTTTCTTGATAGCATAGGCCATTCTGAGGTTCAGTGCTCAGATAAATGATGTAGGATTCTAAGGAAAAGAAAAGTTATTTGCTAATGAAAATCCAAG